AACTTAAAGAGTATTTCCTTGTATTCTTTCGACACCTTATATTCTGTAATTTACAATTATGACCTCTTGTACTCTCTCTTATCAGTTTCAAAAATATTTTCCTCTATTTATTATATCCCTTTACAAACGCATGTGATTATAACAGCCCATCCTAAAATAATAGTACTTTTAAGAACTATTTGGTCAAACATACAAAAATAGACACTTGCAGCCAACAATGTTCATCTTTTATACTAATAATTTTGTGGAGGGCACGAAAAAAAAACTAAACTTAAACAGCCCAAGGCCTAGTATAGCACATATATGTACTATAGTATTAGTCCTAGGATTATTTGGGCAGATTGGGTTAGGTTGGATTCTTTAGTTTTCTATTTTCATAGAATGCCATTTGAGCTAATTCAGTGATACAAAAGGTGAACTTTTGGCAGGTTCAACAGGCCATTTCTGTACCTTTGACTAAGTAGTAATTACAATTACAGTACAATATTGTAAGAGGATGGGCTGGGTTATATCTCTTCTTTCCCTTTAATCTTTCAGTTTTGACTTGCAATCATTCCATGTAGCTCATGTTTCTTAAGTGAGTGAGTGTATAATTAGTTAAGTGTAGTTACAGGATGAAAGCTACGCTCGTGGTGTCCTGTCTTGCCAGGTTTTGGCCTCCACCACCTTCTCACTTAACTTGCTACAACTATTTACCACTGTTTGCAAAAGAAAACTTTCTAATGTTTTTTCAGCACTTTTATTTCCTTAGCTTCAATCTATGACCTCTTCTTCAGGGTGTGTATGTGTGTAATTGCCTAAGTGTAATTACCTAAGTGTAGTTACAGGATGAGAGCTACGCTCGTGGTGTCCCGTCTTCCCAGCACTCTTTGTCATATAACACTTTGAAACTACTGACGGTCTTGGCCTCCACCACCTTCTCACCTAACTTGTTCCAACCATCTACCACTGTTTGCGAAAGTGAATTTTCTTATATTTCTTCGGCATTTGTGTTTAGCTAGTTTAAATCTATGACTTCTTGTTCTTGAAGTTCCAGGTCTCAGGAAATCTACCCTATTGATTTTATCAATTCCTGTTACTATTTTGTACGTAGTGATCATATCACCTCTTTTTCTTCTGTCTTCTAGTTTTGGCTTATTTAATGCCTCTAACCTCTCCTTGTAGCTCTTGCCCTTCAGTTCTAGGAGTCACTTAGTAGCATGTCTTTGCACCTTTTCCAGTTTGTTGATGTGCTTCTTAAGATATGGGCACCACACAACCGCTGCATATTCTAGCTTTGGCCTAACAAAAGTCGTGAACAATTTCTTTAGTATATCGCCATCCATGTATTTAAAAGCAATTCTGAAGTTAGAAAGTGTGGCATAGGCTCCTCGCACAACGTTCTTTATGTGGTCCTCAGGTGATAGATTTCTATCTATCTCCACCCCCTAGATCTCTTTCTTTATCAGAATTCTTTAAAGATTTTTCACATAATATACAGGTTGTGTGGGGGTCTATGTTCTCCTATTCCACATTCCATAACATGACATTTATTAACATTAAATTCCATTTGCCAAGTGATGCTCCATATACTTATTTTGTCCAGGTCATCTTGAAGGGCATGACAATCATCTAAGTTTCTTAGCCTTCCTATTATCTTAGCATCATCAGCAAACATGTTCATATAATTCTGTGTATGGGTATGTGTAATTACCTAAGTGTAGTTACAGTGTGTGTGTGTGTGTGTGTGTGTGTAATTACCTAAGTGTAGTTACAGGATGAGAGCTACGCTCGTGGTGTCCTGTCTTCCCAGCACTCTTTGTCATATAACGCTTTGAAACTACTGACGGTCTTGGCCTCCACCACCTTCTCACTTAACTTGTTCCAACCGTCTACCACTCTATTTGCGAAGGTGAATTTTCTTATATTTCTTCGGCATCTGTGTTTAGCTAGTTTAAATCTATGACCTCTTGTTCTTGAAGTGCCAGGTCTCAGGAATCCTTCCCTGTCGATTTTATCAATTCCTGTTACTATTTTGTACGTAGTGATCATATCACCTCTTTTTCTTCTGTCTTCTAGTTTTGGCATGTTTAATGCTTCCAACCTCTCCTCGTAGCTCTTGCCCTTCAGTTCTGGGAGCCACTTCGTAGCATGTCTTTGTGTGTGTGTGTGTGTGTGTGTGTGTGTGTGTGTGTGTGTGTGTGTGTGTGTGTGTGTGTGTGTGTGTGTGTGTGGGTGTGTGTTAAATAATCCAGAACAAGCATGAGAGAGACCTGCAGCTGTCTAGGCACATACACGAAAACCATCAACCATGGCTTCTAATCTGCTGAAAACTGTTGTCATACTGTCAATAACAGAGAAACCTCCACACCTACAGTTTAACGAGGACAAGAAATCATTGTGGCATTAACTAGGGTTATTCAGCAGCAATTGGAATCATTTAATGCAATGAATTTCTCTTCAGAAAAATAAGGGCATGAAGATTTCCTAGGTATATCAACACATCAACAGTTGCTGTAAATGTAAATGCAGAAGGAAGCAACTTAATCACATGCTCGTCTTGTGTTATTTCACATTCGCACATATATTTTGTATATAAAACACACATACATATACACATTTATAGATATACAAAAATATGCAGCAAACATGCACACGCATATACACACTGAAGTATTTATAGAGATACAAACTGACAACACACTTGTGTATCTGTGTATACAAGAATTCTTGTGTATACAAGAATTTTTATAAACTAATAAAGTCTGATTATTAATACATAAAACTCAATGAATTTTGGCATGAAGTATAAATGTTGATATTTATCCTTCAAGTAAATTTAGCTTAATAAAACTGTATTTCCATTCAAAAGATGAAGTATGAGGTAATAAAACAAATCCAAAATCATGCATATCATACCATCAAACATACTCATATCATACCATCAAACATACACATATCATACCATCAAACATACACATATTATGCCATCAAATATACACATATCATGCCATCAAACATACATATATCATAGCATCAAATATACACATATCATACTATCAAATAAACACACATCATAGCATCAAATATACACATATCATAGCATCAAATAAACACACATCATAGCATCAAATATACACATATCATACCAGCAAATATACACATATCATAAACCTTATATGTAAGTTGCATAAATCTTAAGGTTAATTTTATCCATTAAGAAAGTCAGTGTCAGGCTATAGTTCTGCCAAAACTATAATTTCTCTTCCCCATAGCAAATATAACCTTTTTCCGAATGCCCATTTTTAAGTATAAAATTACAAGCAATACAGTACAGTATCAGTAATTGCTGAACAGTGAATGAGGAAAATGTTGGCATTTGATTTATAAATATATTGTCCTTTGGCATCTACATTGAAAAATTTCTACAATACTCTGCATACTAAATATTTATAAGTGTGTGTGTGTGTGTGCGTGTGTGTGTGTGTGTGTGTGCATGTGTGTATGTGTGTGTGTGTATGCACCTAGTTGCTCACGCGAGGGTCGAGCTCTGCTCTTTCGGCCCGCCTCTCAACTGTCAATCAATCAACTGTAACTGACTAATTAATGTTTTTTTTTTCCACACACACACACCAGGAAGCAGCTCCGTAGCAGCTGTCTAACTCCCAGGTACCTATTTACTGCTAGGTAACAGGGGCATCAAGGTGAAAGAAACATTGCCCATTTGTTTCTGCCTGATCTGGGAATCGAACCCGGGCCACAGAATTACGAGTCCTGCACGCTGTCTGCTCAGCTACCAGACCCCAGTGGATGTGTGTGTGTGTGTGTGTGTGTGTGTATACTCACCTAATTGTGCTTGCAGGGGTTGAGCTCTGGCTCTTTGGTTCCACCTCCCAGCACCATGTCATATAATGCTTTGAAATTACTGACAGTTTTGGCCTCCACCACCTTTTCACCTAAGTTATTCCAACCATCTACCACTCTGTTTGTGAAGTGAATTTTCTTATATTCCTTCAGCAGCTTTGTTTAGTTAGTTTAAATATATGACCTCTTGTTCTTGAAGTTCCAGGTCTCAGGAATTTTTCCTTATCAATTTTATCGATTCCCGTTACTATTTTGAACGTAGTGATCATATCGCCTCTTTTTCTTGTCTTCTAGTTTTGGCATGTTTAATGCCTCTAACCTCTCCTCATGTGTGTGTGTGTGTGTGTAATTACCTAAGTGTAGGTACAGGATGAGAGCTATGCTCGTGGTGTCCCTTCTTCCCAATACTCTTTGTCGTATAACACTTAGAAACTATTATCTGTTTTGGCCTCCACCACCTTCTCACTTAGCTTGTTCCAACCGTCTACCACTCTGTTTGCAAAAGAAAACTTTCTAATGTTTTTTCGGCACCTTTGTTTCCTTAGCTTGAATCTGTGTCCTCTTGTTCGTGATGATGCTGGTTTAAGAAATTCCTCCTTATCAATTTGGTCAATTCCTGTTAAAATTGTGTGTGTAATTACCTAAGTGTAATTACCTAAGTGTAGTTACAGGATGAGAGCTACGCTCATGGTGTCCCGTCTTCCCAGCACTCTTTGTCATATAACGCTTTGAAACTACTGACGGTCTTGGCCTCCACCACCTTCTCACTTAACTTGTTCCAACCGTCTACCACTCTATTTGCGAAGGTGAATTTTCTTATATTTCTTCGGCATCTGTGTTGAGCTAGTTTAAATCTATGACCTCTTGTTCTTGAAGTGCCAGGTCTCAGGAAATCTTCCCTGTCGATTTTATCAATTCCTGTTACTATTTTGTATGTAGTGATCATATCACCTCATTTTCTTCTGTCTTCTAGTTTTGGCATGTTTAATGCTTCCAACCTCTCCTCGTAGCTCTTGCCCTTCAGTTCTGGGAGCCACTTCGTAGCATGTCTTTGCACCTTTTCCAGTTTGTTGATGTGCTTCTTAAGATATGGGCACCACACAACAACTGCATATTCTAGCAAAATGTTCTAGTGTGTGTGTGTGTGTGTGTGTGTGTGTGTGTGTGTGTGTGTGTGTGTGTGTGTGTGTGTGTGTGTGTGTGTGTGTGTGTGTGTGTGTGTGTGTGTGAGAGTGTGTGTGTGGTATTTGTATATACTGTATATGTATGTGTATCTGTGAGGAAGATGAAACTCAAAAATAAATTACTGTCCTTGCAATATTCGACAGGACACTTTTAGTGTATACCCATTTTTCTATTAAATGATGCAGTGAGATTCAACACATTTTGTATAATGCAAATTATTTAGTCAAATTACAATTTTAAATGTACATTAACAGTGTCTTAATATTCTGAGCTGCAAATCTATTGTGAAATATAACCATAGAGGAAAGTAATTCATTATCTGAAGTCAGTTCATCAGTCTCTACAACCATCTTCCACAAACCCCCAGGCAAATATGGCCAAATGACTTTGCTGTAGCAAAGAATCAATGACGAAAAACATTGATCCATCTTTGAAGAAATGTTGAAGAAACGTTCTAATATTCAAGAAATGCTGATCCAACATTGAAAAAATTACATAAGCACATTTTGCCCGCTTGGTTGTCAAGAAGAAAATGTATGCATGTGTCTGGTTTTGCTCTCTTGGAAAAATTTATTTAAATTTTGCGTTATGTTAAAATTTTTTGCAATACTTTTAATATATAAAAGCTAGTTGCAAAGTGACCATTTAATAATCTTTACAACTAATGAAACATTTAGAAAGCTATTAGTAAGGTCCAATTGTGAAATTTGAAGTTCCTGACTGTATATAATGTCATCACTATATCTGTAACACAGAATATAAAAATCTAAAAAAAAAAAAAAAAAAAAAAAAAAAAAGAGATTGTGTAGAAATTTTTAGATGTAATTATAATATACAGTATATGTTTGGTGAGATCTGGAGCTGAGCATTGGCCAGTTATCGAAGTCATTACTCTATATACTTAGGGTGGAGGGGTCTTTTTTCTTTTATGAATATAGCTTCCAGGATTTGCAGTCTTCTTGGGTCAGTGATGGATGCCAGGATTGTTGTATTATTTACTAGTCAGTGCTCATATCCTATCTCACAAAACAGCACCGGATAACGACGACATCTCTACCAAGCTCTCTCTGCCCGCTGCCTTACCCAATGTTTGATTGGCATCCATTCTCCATTATTCTCCTATTTTTTACCTTATGCTTGATTACCCCTATATTCCTTTGACATTTCACCTTATCCCACACAGATTCACCTCTTCCACATGTGTATTTAAAAAAAAATTGCACCTTGTGTATTCATTCCTTATCTGAAGATGTTCCAGAGTGGAATAAAATGTTCTAGAAAATAAACCCTTCATAATCACTAATTTCTTTACCATCAATTTCAGTAACTTGATTGCTCTTCTTAATGCAAAGTAAGGAAATAGTTAGAAGCATAGAAAGCTTATACTATAAGATCAACAATGCCAGCAATGTGGTCATATTTAACCAAATATGCTTCAAGGAACATCTGCTGTCCGAAGTATGTATGTATGTATATAGCTAAGCCAGTATAGTATAACTATACAGTAGAGCACGTGGAAGGATATGAGGATGAAGGATCTGAGATAAGATGGAGGGAAGTAACGAGGCCCAAACACTTGAACCATTGGGGATCAATCGCACACCTACAAGACACGAGGCCACCACTCTACTAATCAATCCAAGTGGTTAGATAACGGTGCCAAGAGGGTAGTAAAGTTGTCTCCTCAACTGCTGAGAGCAAGGCAAGCCATGGCCCGCCCTCCTTATTCCTCATCTTGTAGCTGAATATTTCAACTGAATATTTGAAGGTATATAAAAAAAAAAGTAAACTAAGAGAAAATAAAATTTACTGGACCCAGTACAAGGAACCTTTGTTATTCTGGTTGTATGTGCATATTACTGACGTGGATAACTGGCTACCTATCACAACAATTCCTGGATGTGGCGGAAGATACAGCTCCAGGTATTGTACTGAAGTACAATACCTGGATTTGCCTGGATGAAGTTCTGGGAGTTTTTCTACTCCCCAAGCCTGGCCTGACCTGTGAGAGCTTGGTCCAGCAAGCCGTTGCTTGGAGTGGCAAAACGCAGATATACATATCCACATATCAAGTGTACACATTTATATAAATGAGACAGACACAAAAAGAGCCTTAAGGTTGGCATGTTAGCAAGCTGGATCTAATGCCAGCTAGTTGGCATGCTGGTTAGCTGCCTGGCATGCTGCCTGGCATGCTAACAGGCTTGCTGGCTAGTTGGCTAGCTGTTTGGTACACTTGCTATCTGGCTGTAGCTAGACTCCTGGTTAACGATGAAACGACCTATCCCTCCCCATTCCAGCCTTCTTCCTTTCCCAGCATAATGAGTGATGGGTAGCAGCAGACAACGTCCCGCCATACATAGAGATAACAAGCAAACCCAACAATGTTTTTGTTACAAACATATTTACTAACTTCCCTGCATTTGTTTATGAATTCTCAAGCTTATTTCATTGAATTTATTTATTTAGATAGATTAATTTTGTGCAACTACTGTTTTAAATATAATGTGCACTGATGCAAGTGTTGGGTCACCAAGTACCACCAGACACATTCCATGACTATTATACACACCCCTCAGTAACTCTAGTGTTTCCAGCAAAAACTCATGCCTCTCACAATCAGTCCCAGCACACCATTATGCCTTCCACACCCAGTCTCTCCCAGCAAAAATGTGTGCCTCCCACAGACATTCACATCAAATATTCAAGCCTCCCACACCCACAATCACTCCCAGCAAACACTTTTGTCTCTAAAAGTCACTCCAAGCAAACACACGTTTCTATCAGACCCACTCCCAGCAAAACACTTCTATCTCCCACAGTCACTCACGGTAAACCCAAGTACTCTACACAGTCACACTCACTCCAAGGAAATACCGATTCTCACATTCATAGTTATTCCTCGAAAATGCTGTGGCCAAATGAGGGTGCAGTGATGCCCCAACAAGCTCAACACTGCCTTATTACTGACCGCTAGGTTTGGTGCTTCCAATAGTGGCCCCTAGTCACATTCCTCTTTTTACCAAATGGTGATTGGTAAATAATGATTTAGATACTGGTTCAGTGAATCAGATGTTCTCAAAACAAGTGCATAATATGTACATGTCAGTATGTATATGTATGCATATACTTTATACATACAAACAACACATACTTTCCAAACACCATTTATCCGAACATGCCTGTTATCCATTTTGGATTTGTCTCAATAAAAAAGTTATATATTATTCAATGTAAACTTGTAAACTTCAGAAGGGCTTCCCTGAGCTTTTGAAATTAAGTATATAGTACATGCTGCTGAAAATAACTGACATAACAAATCTAAATAAAATGGTAACATAAACTCATAAAAGATATACAAAATGAAAGACAAACTGATAAATGGCAATACAATGGGAACGGAGTAAACTGACAAATGGCAACATAATGGGTTGTGTAAACCAATGAATGGTATCATAATGGATAGGGTGTAAACTAATAAATGGCAATGCAATGGGTAGAGTGTAAAGTGGCATATTGCCACACAAAAAGGTCAAAGTCTGCAATTTGCATTTTGAGAAGTGGAAAAGAATGGTAGATAATTTGTAATTTAAAATTTTCAACAAATTCTGTGTTACATATAATTACAGTATAGTATAATGAACCTCTATTAAAACTTTGTATGAAATGCAGCTTACATTTTACGTCAAATAAAAGCGGAAACTTCAAATTTTCATAATGGTCACATTAAGCTTTCAATAGTGTTTGTTTTTTATTATTATAAAGTTAATTACCATGGCCATAAAATTTATGAAACAACAAAATAAAATGAAGTAACATCTTTCGTGTATATAACATGAATTAATTTTAGGTATACAGGAGAACCTCATTTAACGGCAGGGGGGTTATGATCCTGAAAACCCCCAAGTTTAATTGAAATAATTTTAAGCAAAATTAAAAATCTCACAGGCCTAGTGTTATATGTAAGAGTTACATTCCTAGGATACTGGGAAAGATAATTTTTCTCTCACTCACTCTTGTCATAGCTTAGTTTCTAACAATATTGTCTTCCTTTGTTTTTAGCCTTTTATTATGATTACTACCTGTCATAGGCCATTTACCTAGAGTTACATGTAAGAGTTACATTCCTAGGATACTGGGAAAGATAATTTTTCTCTCGCTCACTCTTGTCATAGCTTAGTTTCTAACAATATTGTCTTCCTTTGTTTTTAGCCTTTTATTATGATTACTACCTGTCATAGGCCATTTACCCCTCATGCCTTCTTATCCAAGGAAATTTTGTACTAATGATATCGAGCTTGGAAGTTGCGCACCATGTCTGTTTATGAAAGTGATCAGGTGTCAACATTCATTTGTTTTGGCAGCAGCTAAATTTACTTGATAACGTGATAACATAGTCATATGGTTGTATTATATAATTCTTATGGACACTACTATATTTTATGCTATTATTTTTAATAAACATAGTGTTTATTAAAGTGTTTTTAGCACATGATAAATACAGTGTTTGCTGACAACATTTAAGTTAGCCCTCATATACTGTACTTCATTCTATAAATACCATTTGCTTCCACATAATTTTTTCTATCTTACGTTGGGATCTTAAAAAAAATAATAGAACTGTTTGCCTGTATTTTAAATACTGTATATTTATTTATTTTTTCTAATGCCATATTCAAAATGACGTTAACTGGGGCAATGTTAAGCGAGGTTCGCCTGCATAAATAATTTTGCAGCCACAATTTATATAAAAGAAGAAATATGGTTAATACCGTCCATGAATCAAAATTTTAAATATATATTCTTAAGTGCACCATCATCTATTACAAGGGGTTGTATTTGAAAAAAAATTCAATTACGCATAAAAAGATTCGCTTCACAAATCTGAGACAATCTTACATTTTTCTGCCAATGTAATAAGTAATTAATTTGTAATTTTCCAACTGTGTGCTTCTGTTCTGTCATTTCTTTTTATTTTTATCTTTCAGAAAAGCAATTTCAAAATTACTAAAACTATATACAATATCAAGAATAGCATTCCGGTTTCAAATGGTTTATTTCATTGAAACTGAACACAGTTACTTTATCTTCTTTCCATCCATTATCAAAACACACATGCAAAGTAAATTATAACGTTAGATGGAAAAAGGTGAGTAAGATCATTTTCATGTGATAACGGCAATATGCAATGTTTAATCCGAGAAACTCTGTATTTCTGTTGTCATTCTGTAAACATTCTATATGTAACAACCCACACTAATTACTATTTATGGCTTAACAAAGAAATATAATTTTAAGGATTCTGCCTTTACATACATTCCCCTTTGTGTTTTCTATGCCTAACCCATATTTTTGCTTCAATGTATAAAAATATTAAACCAAATACTGTACTTGCCTACATTCTGGTAAAATGAACTGCCATAGCAGTGTGCTTGAACATCATCACTGCCGGAGATGACCAAAAGTTGTGTGCAAGTTGCCTCAAACCCTGTCCGCAACAATGAACTGTCATAACAGTGTGCTTGAACATCATCACTGTCGGAGATGACCAAAAGTTGTGTGAAAGTTGCCTCAAACCCTGTCCGCAACAATAAAATATTTTTTCAAGTGTCTTCTTGATGTACAGAATTTTCTTAATGGGGAAAATCTAGCAGAGCTATGTATACTTCATGAAAATTTATTCTTCCTTTATAGTTTTAAAAAGATTGACAACAATTATTGAATTTCAATCCATTATAAAATAGTCAGAAATCTTGAAAAAAATATTGTATTCTGATTGGGCATTGATTTAAAAAAAAAACACGTTTGACATTTTCGTATAAAAGCCAATATGAATTTGCATTAGATGTTCATAGTTGTATCTTTAACGTATATTAATTCGTAAGTATTCTACATATATTTAAATTAGGAATCAGGTACAAAATTGGGCAGATATACTATCTTCCTCTCATGCTCATTCTCTCTCTCTTTCAGTCTATCTTTCTACTTGCACTTCATTAATTCTATTAGACTACGAATGACATGAAACCCTAATGCAAAGGTAAAAAAATTAATACAGTATCCACAATTCGTTCACATTTGATTTTACAACATTACTTGTATATGGATGTGACTAATTCATGACATTTATTCTCTGGCCCTTTAAATTTGTAATGTAACAATGCTTTCTGTATTAAAGATGAAAACACATGAATCAATCCGACATATCAAAAAATTACATCTTAAAATTTTTTCAACAAGTACTTCATTCCATATTTCCCACTATATAACACAAACTATTAAAAACAACTATCTATATAGAAACACCTCAGGTCTTGCCAGCTTGCAAAATTTGCAGTTATTAGAAGTGACCACTTTTTCACCATGATTTCTCGTCAAAGAACGGTTACACGATCACACCACTCAAACCACACCCTTTCAAAACCTGCAATATGTGAGGCTGTGTATCATTGTCTTTACAACCTTTGTTCCCAAAACAGAACACAAACAAATTTCTTTTCCCAAACTTGCTTGAGGGAACTTAAAGGTCGTCATGCAGCAGCGGAAAATTAGCAGAAAGAGAGGGAAAGTTCACCACCGTTCCTCCACTGTGTAACTGCTCGATTTTTCATCTGAAAACGTGAATCATTAATAGTCTTTTGATTTTAAACACTATTGTCAAGAAGTATCCTAACAATCTGCTCAAATGTCATTCAAAACTGTATATTGTAATGTGTAATATAAAAATGTAAATTAATAAAATGTAAACATAACAAAATTTCATGGTTAAAGCTAGTATTATTGTGTCACACATGACAGTGCTATGAAACAGGCTTAAATTAAAAGACTATACTGTACTGTATATTATTTGTTCTAAAATATATAACAACAAATTATTGTCTATGGTGCTTAAACAATAACTGATTTGGTGTTATCTAAACCAAGTTGGACATCATCCCTCATCGTATGTTTAAACGACGTTATTATTAAATAACTTCACAAAAAAAAATAAAAAAATACTGAATGTAAAACAACTGATATACTATAACATGTCCATAATTAATCTGCCAAGGTTAAAATATTAATTTCATAATTGTGAGAGTACTGGTATAGACTAATAAAAGAAACTGTTATTCTGATTAAATTTAAGCAGCAGTGTAGGTAGAGTCAGTACAGTACATCAATGTTTCATGATGTTTTATTCACATGTAACTAAATTTACCTTTATTAAGGCTTAGAGGGTGCAACTTTCTCAGTTCTGGGTCACCACTATGAGGCATTCTCAATTTAAATTTTCTTCTTTGCAAACAAGTGAAAAATATTAAAAAAAAAAAAAAAAAAAATCTGCATAGACAGATTTTCAATTTAATTACATTTTCAAATTAAATGCTGACATTGGCGTCAATTCCCAAAGTTTGGATAGGCACACCTTAATTTGACATTTTCTTTTCTTGTAAGGTTAAGAAAATATATTAAATAAATATACGGGTGAATGAAGAAAATGACTGAAAATGGTCTCAAACTTAATACCGTACTGTATTCATGCATTCATGTATTATGTCAGTCTTGATTCGCTTTGGGTCATTCAGTGTAAGATAAAGAATTTAGTTGTTAATTGTATACTAATAACTGTTATAATAATAATAATAATAATAATAATTCTGAACTTGCTTTACCCCCCATTAAGTTTGGAATGAAGTAATGTTGAAAGTATCAAGAGAAAAAAAAGAATTAGCATCCAGAATTTGAATTCTGGATGCCAATTCTAACGAAAACTATCAATTGTCATGTTAATTCTAAACTATCAATAGTTGTTACCTAAAATAGGAGACTAATTCTTAATGTAGCTGGCCGGTGTCACTACTCACAATATGAACTATTGAAATATATGTTTATCGTTTTGTCTTATGTTCCTATTTGAGAAGTGAGTGCTGCATTAACAAAGCCGATTTATCAAATTTATAGAATAATACAGCCATTAAAAAATTATGCAATTCATGGAATTTATAAAGTTTGGACCGGGCCATTCAAATAAATAAATAAATATGAATGTATATATATATATTTATATATATATAATCACTAGAGAACTGTATTGACCCAACGAGGATTCGAACACGCACCACCCAGGATCACCCATTGGCGTACAGAGTACAGAGTACATAACCACTAGACCAATGATTGTCTTGAATCACTGGTCTAGTGGATGGTGCTCAGTATGCCGAGAGGTGACACTGGGCAGCTTGGGTTCAAATCCTGGTCGGGTCAATAGAGTTCTTAGTGATTAATGGCTCATGCGTTCAAGTTAATAATGATAATCATTATCATTATTAACTGCTTGAATTGCCAAGTGATATTTTTTAATATTAGTTTTATGATTTTTTGTCATATTCATCATGATGTCATGATGCAGGTCTTTTTAACCAACTGAGCTATTTAAGGGTTAAACTTCAAGAAATTTCACTATGGATACTTTTTATAATATATAGTAGTTAATTATCTATTAATTTATTGTGAACTCAAGTCAATAAAAAGGGATTGGCCTGATGACACACAAAATCTTTCATTCCATACATTCTCATATTGCACACACGGTATCTGGAACACAGTCTATGTTGCAAACTCTGCTGCTTGAATTATTAATTATTATTCACTGTTCACACTACACCAGCCCATGACAGGACCATTCTCCAATTTACCATCACTATTATCTAAGAGGCAACTATCCATTAAGTTCAATATCTGCCATGGCTAAGATATAGAAAACTGTGACCAAGTGACCAAACATGGCAAATATTTACCTAAGATGGTCAATTAAATCTGTATTCTTGCTAAGGAATTTTGTCATAATGTACAAGGCTTGGATAATAATGCTGGTTGAAAAAAAAAAAGTGCAACATAACTTCAAATATCCTTAATTTATGCAGATATTTAATTGAGTATGGTTTTTCAGTGTCCTACCTTGTGGCTACCTTGTGGCTACCTTGTGGAAGTTCCAGGGATTAACGCTCCCGTAGCCTGGTCCCTGACCAGGCCTCCCGGTTGGTCGTCTGGTCAACCAGGCTGTTGGATGCTGCTGCTTGCAGTCTGATGTATGAATCACAGCCTGGTTGATCAGGTAGGCCAACAACTGAGCATCCCCAGGATGCAACTAACAGCAGTAATCTAACTCTCGGGTACCAATTTACTGCTAGGTGAACAGAGGCATCAGGTGTAAGGAAATACATCCAATAACCTCAGCCTGCCAGGAAATCAAACTCAGATACAATCAGGTGTGAGCCAACTGGTCTCACCACTGCACCACAGTTATTAAACAATTTCAATTTGGAGTTTGCTACTTTCTTATTAATATACCTTAACAGTATTCCACCTGCTGGCATTAAAAATCTATCACAAGTCAGATGTGATCTACAGTATGTGTTTAATGTACAGTATATGAAATAAAGATTAGAACATGACAATTACTATGTACTGTACTTTATCGTACAAATCTTACCGTACCTTATATTGTTTTAAAAACTTGGCGCATGACAACAGTTAGCACTGCCTATACATCATCAAATTTAGATTATTCAAATATAAACAAAAAATAGCAATATTTTGTAATTTTGTGTATTTGGAAACTGGAAGCATTATGGGTAAAGAAAGTGTGTTAACATCAACATTAATATTGATGAGCCTATACCATTAACAGGAAATTCAGTCACAAACGAGCCATTATTAATTTGAGAGGTTGCTGAATTTAAATACAGAATTATACCCAGGACTCTTAATGCTTAAAGTTAGTTAACTGTGGCATACTAATAAAATACTGTACTTTGTCTTTTCATTTGTATACATAAACTCTACTTTTGTTTATTAATAAGTAAATCAATTTAAATTCCAAAGTTTTCACAACTTTCCTAAGTAATTTATTTACGTAACTCTAGCTTAGCTGAGAGTCCATATACAGCACTGAATACACTTATAGGTGACAAGGATTTTTTTATGTCAGAGAACTAGTACATGGTTAATACTATCTACCCCTCATTCAATGTTGGGAGTTAGGTTCCTCAAAACTGCAACTTTAATTGAAATGACATTAAGTGAAACCAAAAACCTATTAGGCCTCAAGTAATAAGTAGAGCAAGCTCCATCAAGCTACAGCCTGGTGGACCAAGCTCTCACAAGTTATTCCTGGCCTCAGGCCAGGCTTGGGGATTAGAAGAACTTCCAGAACCCCATCAAGCAGGTATCAAGCAAGCAGTACCAACAGCAGACTTCTCTACCAGTCACTTGCTTCCCCAGCCACGTTCATGTTTCTCTAAAAATTTGGCCTTCTTATTCATGGTGAGGAAGTCCCTCTAGCACTTGCTTGATGTACACATATTACATTTTGCGAACAACATGGCTTCAACTTGGAGGCATGGTCGGGGACCGGGCCGCGGGAATGTTACCTGCTCAATACCTGCTTGATGGGGTTCTGGGAGTTCTTTTACTCCCATAGCCTGGACCGAGGCCAGGCTTGACTTGTGAGCCCCGAAATCATCTCAAGGTAACTATAAGGTAAGGTAACTTGCAAACAATAGATATACAGGTATCAGAAGAAAATTTTAAGAAACTGTTTGAGTAATGTGAGACTATAGCACACTAACATACAAGGAAAACACATGGTAAATAAATAATAGGTCTGGATGCCTCGAAAAATTACGTCACACAAAGAAGCTCATTTCTACAATTTATAGTCAAGTAAAAGTTTAGCAAAATGTTAATAATATATATATGATTATAAATAACATATACAAATACCAAAGATTAACAAAAATAAGAAAACTAAACATGATTTGATGGAAATTAGTTTATGTGATTAAAGGACAATCCAGGTTTCACCATGTTCCCCTTTGGAATTCAAATGGTTAACATTAATGAAAATGGTTTTGTATTCTTCCAGTTTTTTCATTTAATTGTTCTCATTTACTTCGTATTGTCTTAATTTACGACCATTTAGTTCACACTTTGCCACACTTATACAGTATTTTGAAATATTTGCTTCAGTTTAGCTATTTTACCATAGATATTTAGCAATGTATATCATTTTGCTTAATTATTTTAATCAGTGTTCTTTAGATCTGATGATAAAATAGAAATTTTCATACCCTTGTAATGATCATTGGAAATATGTTTGCTTGCACTACTAAGCCTAATAAGCAAGACCCATCTACCCTGACAGTCCAATCTATTTTGCAATTTTAATTTTCTTTGTAGTTAGTTCACACCCTAATAATATTAATGTACTATTGCAATATGAATTTTTAACTTTAGCATAGTTTTCCCTATGTTAGGTAGAATCAAGAAATAACTGGCATTATTTAGTGTAGGTCATGTTTTACAGTTACCGTAGTTTTGCCTGAAACTAAAAAAAATATCCTTATCATGTATAGTACTGTATCTGTATAAGGACAAACTCAATCAACAAGAGAAAATGTCTGAAAGCGTCATATTTATGAAAGACTCGGCACGTTTATATACTGTGTGTATGTGTATGTAAGTATGTATGTATGTATGTGTATATATATATATATGTCGTACCTAGTAGCCAGAACGCACTTTTTGGACTACTATGCAAGGCCCAATTTGCCTAATAAGCCAAGTT